TGATACAGACAGACAAACCAGAGACTTGCGGAACATAGGTTTCATCATATGGTCTGCTTAGTTCATTGAAAACTGCTTATTGTGTGAGTTCATTATAAGGTGGACTAACACACTTAACTCTAGGACTTGGGTTCTGTAACTTCAGGCTGATTGTTTCATCTTTAATGCTCAAGTGAGTGTATCAGATTTCCTTATCACATGTAGGAAAAATTATACTCTGTGGCATCACTCAGTTTCTTTATTGCCTTTCTGGAAAACTTTTTCCTTGATGTGATATTTTACATTTGGTAGTAATGTGTCAGTTGGAATAAAATTAAGATAGATAAGTGTTGTAATGGTTCTGTTTTTTAACTCAAATCTTGAATTTGAAATCCTAAAGCTCACATTTACATTTTGATGTTTCAAAATGAGCTGTAAAAGTGGCCATCTTTGGCTGCTGAACTTGTGAAACATGAATTACTGAAACCTAAACTAAACCTCAGGAAACACTCTGCTTCTGAACCACAGATGTAGATCTATGTGCTTAACTCTATGTTATTTTCAAATTTCAAGAAATATATTATAATCCAAACACTAATAGGCAGTTGAGAAATCTATTAATACAACGATAGCCAGAAGCTAAAATAACAGTTGTGAAAAGTGAAAAAAGAAAAATTATTAAGTTCTGAAACATATTCGTCTTGATCAAAAAAATCCTCAAAGTAGAGCCTCCTTTTCATCAAAGAGAATCTTGTTTGTTTTGCATGAACTTGCTGCCGTTATTTTATCTTTTTTTTTTGCTGTGCTAAGGATGTGTGAATTTTTTAATTTTCTTTTTTAACTTAAAATCAAAAAAATTTTAATATATATTTATTGATGTTATTTTATCTTTAGTGACAAAATCATATAGCAAACGCCTGCAGTGTTGTGTGTACATACAAATACTGCTGTTTTGTTTTCCCCAATGTTTCATAGGAAGCATTTTTTTCTTTTTTCTTTTTTTGGTCTTGGCAAATGTAGTCATAAGAGAAAGGTGGGGAACTCATTAGATAAAAATGTAACTTTTTACAGTCATAGTACTGTAAAAAAAAAAAAACCAACATTTAAAATTTTAAAGAAAGAAATATTATGAAAAAGTTAAAGAGTATACAAAGAAAACAAACCCAAAGTATATCTTTGGCAATCTACCATTTTGCTGAAATTAACTTATTAATGAATGCAATATTGCTCTTTCAGAATGATATTCATTTGCACACAGTGGCACTGGATGTGCCCTTTTGCATGTGCCTGGGTGTTACTGTGTAAATACAACCACGTGAAGATCAGTGATCAGATACAGATACAGAGCAGATACAGGCCAGGAATGGCTCTTTTGTTCTCTTTTCTATTAAGAGGTTTATGGACAGTTTCCTGTGCCTGATTCTTAGGTCAAGGGTACAATTTTCTGAAGATGGAGCCTGGAGAAGTGAACTCACTTGGAGAAAGACATGATTTTGACAGTATCATACCAGGAACACCTTCTTAAGGTTGGATTCTCAGCTTATACCTTTTGACTTTAAATTCCTATCCTCTGTGTGGCCCCTCACAAAACTAGATTTAACTTTACAACTAGAACCACTTTCAAATATTGCTACCACAAAGTACAAAAAATACTAATTGGCATTTATAACTGACACCGGGCTTTTGAGATGTAAAAAACACATTTTCACATTTCCTATCAAATAAATAGATTCAATGTAAAAGTTAAAATGATATGAATTATTTAAATTATTTAATATTCCTAAATCAAAAAAATTCAATGAAAATGATTACCAAAACAATCAGAATGTTAAACTGGCAAAGCACTTTTAATGAAATTTAGGACTTTCAAGTCAAAAAGAGAGCTCAGTTGCTGAGTTGGAATGTTATGCTCTCTATGTGACTTACATTCTCTACTATGTATTTTCTGTTGCTCAAGTACTAATTATACTCAAAAATTGGTATAGTAGAATAATTCTCAGAGAGTGTTTTAGGAAGCTATTTTACTTCATAGAATTTAGAATTTTGCCATCTGTTAACCTTCAACTTATTTCATTAGTGACTGATGTTTATTTTTAAGGGTCTGCGGGGGGGGAGGGGTGGGAAGGGACAGACTGGGAGTTCAAAATTTGTAGATACTGACAGGCATATGTAGAATAGATGAACTAGTTTATACTGTATAGCACAGGGAAATATGTCTAAGATCTTTCATCATGGTAGCTCACAGTGAAAAAGAATGTGACAATGAATATA